TTACCATCCCAGTGTGGCATTAAACGAGTCCCAATGTTATCTTAATGGCAAGCCACTACAATTTGTTAGTCAGTATTGTTATTTAGGATATCATTTTACCCAGGACGGAAAAGACAGTATTTGTATGAGAAAACAAATACGTGGATTGTTTGCTCGAGCCAACTTTTTATTACCTACGTAGATTTAGTAAATGTTCTCTTCCTGTTCCTTCCTGTACGCTATTTCGTAGTTATTGTTCAAATTTGTATTGTAGTTACCTTTGGTCGGATTTTACTGTGGCAGATTTTAATCGTATTCGTGTTGCGTATAACAACGCTCTTAGAATTATATGTAATGTTTCTCGTTCTTTTAATAGTAGTATAACAGAGACTTTCGCCAGACTACATGTTGATGATTTTCAGGTTAAACTTAGAAAAATGTGCTACAGTTTTTTGCAACGTATTTTGTTGAGTAAGAACTCTGTTTTAATCAATCTATTATCTAGTGATATTTTTTTTAAATCACGTATATGGCAAATGTGGCGTGGTCGATTTTATTTAATGCATACTGTGTAATTTGTTAATATTTTTTTCTTACTTTTTATATGGGCTTGTCCTGAAATAAAAGATAATAATTTATCAAAATTGTACCGATTGATTTACCTTTAATACATCTCATATCAGTAACATAAATCAATACAGTAATAGTTGAAATTATTTATGACAATAAAAAGTTATTGTGAAAAGACAGAGCTAGCTGAGAGCCAACTTGAGATTTACATTACACTCAGGCTGTGATGAAAATATTAACATGAATTACGAGATAAGTCTACATTTTTCCATGAATAAGTCTGTCAAAGAACTGGTTAGGAATCTTATGTCCTTCCTTATTCACAAAGCATGTATTACAAATAAACAAGTTTTTGCTCTTGAATATGGTGATATTTCCCCTGGCCTCCAAGCAACCAATGTATTCTGTGGTACCAATGCTATGCCTATAAGTGATGTAACTCTTGTATCTTGTAGTCATAGTAACAAAATATTTGTCAATTCTTTCAGATTGAAGTCAGCAATCCTTCTTTACAAGACTCCAATTTTATTTTCCTTGACCGGAATTTATGGCCAGTTGGCAGAGATCAAGAGAGGTTTTTAACCGTTCTAGACATTCTTAATGGGGTTGTGGTTCAGGTACGCATTATTACAGATGCATCGGCCGAATCTGATGACACTCTTATAATCAGTGATGTCACTGAATCTACGTCACCACCGGCTGCTAAAAAATTTAAAAGGTGAGATTTTGAAGTGTTTCTTCTTCACTATTATTTAACCAATGTGTGATTGCTCCATAATAAATTTGTGTTCACAAATACCCGAATAGCGGTCTATATACTTGCTGCATTGACATTTACAGCATGAAGTTTGATATTTAGCGCTGTTGATTTTTTAGGTCCAGTCCTGTTTATGGTCATTCCTCAGTATCGCCGCTTAAAATGGTGACGTTTAAAGAAAATAACGTTGGTAAAGATGGAATGAGTACGCCTAAGTCTGCACAAATTGCTAAACAGATGTTGATAAGTTACGTCAGACAAGAAGCGGCTCATCATGCATTGGCTTTGAAAACAGCACTAGAGAAGCTCGGATTCAGCGTCTATCTGGTATGAATTTATGTTTTCATATTACCAACTTGTGATGCCTAATTCGTATATATGTGAATTCACACATTTTCAATATGTACTGATGTTGTGTCATTAAAAACTGTTTGTCAAAGTTCTGATAAATATGAGCCTTTGGGTATCAACAACAAATTCACAGTTCTTGGATGTTTTGTTAGTTCGCATTTCAAACTGAGACTACTAATTTGCCTTTCTGTGTAATTGCAAGTATTTCTCAGCAATTCTTCAGCAAATATCAATGAAAGTTGACAAGTTTATAAATTATTATGTGTTAGAAAAGCAATGCAATTTTTTTGAAAATGTTTGCATCATCATTAGGTCTTTTTCACAGACATGTCCAGTACAATCACAGTAATAAGAGTTTCTGTTAGTATTATGAACTTTAAAACTGTAGATCAGATTGATTTCACATTGTGCATCTCAAAGAGCTGAGCTTTAAATAGACACCAGGCTTCTTGGTTAGTCTTACATTTTCATACAAATTTCAATATTTCCTATTTCTACTTCAAGTACGTCCAATAAACTCAGCACACAAGAGTTCTCTGATTCAGATGAGGGTATTCACTTGGTGTGATATGCGATACAAATTTGAAATCCGGCAAATTGTCAAATGATCACTAAATTATTATGTGAGTTGGTGAAAATCATAAAATTTTGTAGCAGTGAAAATTTATAGGGGCTCAACAACATGGAGTGTTAGTGATTTTTGTCTTCAAGAATGCCATAAATCCTAAAATCAAGCTTCTGTTATTGTTTCAGGTAAAAAAATGTGTGTGATTAATATTTATGTTTATTCTGTAGGATGTTCACGAGATTACATGTGGAGCTGATTGGCAAGACTCTTTGAATTACGCCGTCAGTAATTGTGAAGTCTTTGTTCCCTTAGTTACCCCTAGATATGGAGAAACACAGTGGACAAACAGAGAGGTAATAATGTATTTTCAATCTAAAGTTTATAAATGTTGTGTTTTAAACAAATGCCTGAAACCCAATTTGTGTGTCTAAAAAAAATGTCTCTGTTGTCACATGTATACAATAGTTGTGTGTTCTATGTGTATGGATGACCTATAGTTGTGTAGTCTCCCGTAATTCTACCTGCAATTTTCTGGGAGTGACTGGAATTTATAATTTTATTTCTGCTGAATTTGTTAATTTGATTTGTAGGTGAAATTAGCTGATGTTCTTGGGAAGCTCATTGTCCCGGTTAGTTTTCTTTCAAAATGGCCACCTCCTTGTCTCGCCATTCAGTTTGCTACTACTCAATATGTACGCTGGAAAACCAGGGATGAAATCAGACAAGGTAAGATTTTATATTTGCAGAACTATTCACAGTCTGGATAGTTAAATTTTCATTTCACATTATTAATTGGAGTTTTAATTCTAAACTTATGAAATTTAAATGCTTGTAGCTTTCTTTTAGCAAATTGTGATATTTTTACAATCATGTAATACAGAGATAATAAATAAGAACTATTTTGTGGAAGCTTACAGAAATTGGCAATGGGGTGAGATGGCCAATAGTCAAAGTTTGTGAAAGTTGAAAATGATGATGAAAGAGTTGCACATTGCATGCTTGTCATAACTACAATAAATTTTGTGAATATCATGCTTCTATTAATATATAAAAACTGACTTTAATAATTGGAATACTGGTAGTACCGTACTTATCTGGGTAAGAGCCCATGCCTGGACAAACGCCCACCCCCCACTTTTGACACAATAAAGAAGTTGAGGTCATATCCGGGCACACGCCCAGGGGGTCTTTTTCTACACAAAACAAAAAAAATATTTTCTATTCGTTGACTGTGGTTGTATTAATAGTTGTCTTTCTTGAAGTCTGTCGTGATGCTTATAAAAATTGTTAATTGCGTAAAACAAGGAGTGAACGCAAAATAGCTGTGACAGCTTTCTGCCTTCAGGGCAGCGCGTTCACCGCTGATTTTTTTCAGAATCATAACAGTCAGCAAGTCTATAAAAATAAATATTAAAGCAGAAACGATAGTTCTCTTTTTGAAATATGTTGTGGCCCTAAAAAGGGCCGGCCGTTTGGTTTGTGCATCCTTAGAAACGATTCAAGCAAATCGTATAAGGAGAGCCGCTAAGTGTCGCACTCGTTCGGCTTTAGCGTCGCCGACAATGAAAACAATGTTGCAATATTATAGCAACCCGTACCTGGAAGAAATGTTGAAATCACGTTATTTTGGCTTTATAAATATTTTGTAGCAGCTTGCGAATCCATAACTGGGGCCAGCAATTTTGCAATGGTACGCCGAAGACTGCCAACTTTTTTACCATCTGTTATCACCGCTATTGCATTTCTGTCATGAAAACTATTCTTCTGTCGTTGGATAAAAAAAAACTTCCCATTTCAAGTCCACCGTGATATCCATATAAGCGTTGAGTCTGTTAGGAAAGCAATGTCACGATTTGACCTTTATGATGAAATACTAGTAGTGATGTCATTCTTAGCCAATCAGTAAAGCAGATGCATAAAGGTCAAAGATGATTGCTAGACTGTAAACAAAAGCATCGTGTGCCATCGCAGCAGAGCGACCTCATTTTTCTTGTCTCTTTATTATGATTAGACATGAATGAAAAGTGCCAAGCTGACAGACTGCGAAATCCGTGGATTAAAAGTGCTAAGTCCAAATTGGGTGGGACGATATCGACGAACTTCAGGAATAAGTTGTAGGGATTTTGTTGACGGCTACAGTGATGCCGACTTGGACATTTGAGGGTTTTGAGTTTGACGAAGATGACAAACAGCTATGAATTTTTATGATTTTTACTGTGTAAATTATTATTGATCTTGCATGACGGTTGATTCGTAATTTGTCGAGACCGGAAATCATTTTACGCAGTTTAACCCCTGACATTTAAATTCATTTTGAGTTCACATGTATTGGGCGTGTTTGTCGGCGGGAAAATCCTAATTCAAATGATTTCTCACTGTCGATTTTTATTTTTTCTGGTTTATTTGTCACATTATAAGCAATACATTATTTTTGTTTTACTTCTAGTGTTGCATATTGTTCATTTATTTCCGTTGCATGTTTCATTTGCCGTTCTATTCCCTGTCGCAGTTCGATCTGCCTGTTGTAAATTTTCGCGAATTTTCGTGTTTTTTTGCCGGGGATCTCCTGGCAAACGCCCATCCCTTCTTTTTGGCAATTTTCCATGTTCAAGACCCTGGGCTTATACCCGGATAAATACGGTATATGAATGAGATTTTTGTAATCGATTTAACCTTTTCACCACCAGTTCCCTCTTTTCATCACAAATTTACAAAATAGTTCCGTTTATAGTCTGCACTTCCATACAGAAGATTGGGATAAAAATAGCTAAATATTTTGAGTAAAAATGTTGGTGCCAATATTAGGGTTCATTTCCAGAAATATTGAAAAAATATAAGAAAAAAAATGCAGACAAATTTGGGCTTGAAAGTTTTGTGGTGGAAAGGTTGTTGAGAATGTGGTAACTACTGACTTTAAAGGCTATGCATGAAAAAAGTCATTGGTGTATTCATTGCTCAGTACACCTCCAATCAACTCAAAAGACGGTAGTGAGAAAAAAGGTTGATCTAGAAATGGAAACATTTGAAGCCAGTCTCCTCAATATTTCTTAATATTAGGGGTACATAACTTTATACTAGACTCTGAAAGTTTGAAGTCTCATTTCCATGGAGTCTGTTACATAATTTTTCTGGAACAAATCAAGAAAAGTTAGGTTTTATGTTTAAATATATTTAAATTTTTTGGTGATTTTGTCACTACCATGACTTATAATAAACCTATTTGTCACTACCATCATTTTACTGTAGACAAGAAAGCAACCCAACCAACAGTAAGGAAATATATAGCTTAGTGTTTTTGCAATCAAAATACTGTTGTTTTGAGCATATTCACTTTGTTTTAATTTCACAAATTGTCATAGAAACAGGGAGTTTTATTGTTATTTTACATTTTCACATGGATGTAATTTAGTGGAATTTACTTATCAGCGAAAATAGCGAAAATAAAACCTAGTGACCAATTAATGCATTTACAGTAGCAATATTGATAGTTCAAATGTATTCGTCTGTGATGCTAAACTGATATCATTGTTTATAGTTTGTTAGCAAAATAGTGAGCTACATTGTGTATATAGTAATACCGGTACTGTTGGTTGAGTTACTTTTTCGTTCAAAGTAAACGTATATTAAAAAACACGTGCTTTACATAACTATAAAACGCTGCTAATTTCTATAATTCTTTCTTAATCTTTGTGCTTGAAGCTACACCATGGCTGTCTCCACAAACAGGTATAGGCTAAATACTGATCCATGTTCTAGTATTGAGATCAGTTCTCTCATGAATCTGTGCTGCTAATTGTGCATGTTTATATTACTATACAGTACTTAACTGAGCTGTCAAGGCTGGGTGGGGTGGGGTGGTGCAGAGCATAAACTTTAAAGAGGCATCAAAAGTTGCCTTGCTGCCCCTTGATATTCTAGATATTATTCCTATACGCTTAGGCAATTTTATAGATTTAGGTTTAGGTGCTGCCTTGCATGATGGGTGTTTCCCTCAAAGGCTAGGCCCACTGCCGAAACAGTGGATTGGTGTCAGGAAGGGCATCCGGCCAATTATCTCATGCTCCAAAAAAACCTTAAATTGCCACTAGTTTAAGGTGAATCCGGCCACCCTCGTCTTCGGGGACCAAACCGGATTTAAAACTCTGGACTACTACTAGTCTTACAGCAAGTCTCAGAAGTATTGGGGCAGCCAATTGGCTAACTGCTTGTGTTTTGACTATACAGTCGGCTTTCGTTGGCGTTGGCGTTGTCTTGTGGTCACGCCCATTCTGGGTAACTCTATATAACAGCAGGGGACGATCGTCATACTTTGGGAACTAATCAGCCTTAGTTGGACGACGATTTCGCTTTCAAATATACCAGGGAAAGTGTTCTATGTGTAATGAGGTATTCGTATACAAAGGATTCACCACGCAAAAACGACGAATGAGGTCAAATTTTGTTAGTGGTTGGCTAATGTTACCCCAACGTATCATTTACATGTGAAAGTTTGTCATTTAATTCCTGATTTGTAGGAAAATGTTTCTTATCACTTAACGCCTGCTAACTGTGGCCATTCTCAGGCTTACCAGGCTATGTAAAAGCATTCTAATAATAATTATCTTTATTGCGTTTGTATCCCTATTAGGATTTTGACTGAAATGCAATACAGATGTGAATAAAGACAAACATACATGTCCCCTAATGCAACTTAGACTTGCCCATAGTGGACGTGGCCACGAGTCGGTGCCAGCGAGATTCAAAAGCCAACTGTTTAGTCAAAACCCAAGCAGTTAGCCAATTTGCTAGCAAGTTTTCAAATTGGCTGCCCCATTACTTCTGAGACTTGCTGTAAGTCCTGGTAGAGTGGGTATTTGCGGAGATGTACTGCTTTTGACTTGAAACATTCATTCATTATTTAAGAAATTTAAAACTCCTATTTTTCATTCAAAACTAACTACAAGATGTATGCTCTATTGTGTACTGAATTATATTTATAATAAGACATAAATGGTATTGACCAACAATTCTAAATCTGAGAGGTTGTCCTAAGTCCTAAACGGTAATAGCAACGCCTGCTACACAAAGGCTTATGTGTATAAACACTTGTTTGTAAACAACAACATGCTATGGTCGTTTGTCACAGATGATAACTCCCTCACTTTAAACAAATATTAAGCTAGTTTACATGTTTATAAATATTTACAGTTTTTTTGGAACAGTGAAAATTTTTTTTGCGATGATAATTTCACTGACTGAGAGTGACATCTACTGTAGTTAAAATTTAGTTAAAAAATACATCACATTATTATTCACAACACAAACAACATTGATTTAAGTTAATATCCAAAAAAATGTTTCATCTGAGCTGCACTAGCAATTTGCAGTTGAATCAAAGCATGTCTACAAGACAGAATTTGATTCAGCCTGTCAACAAACAAGCTGCTCTCTGATTGGTCTGACTGTTAGGTGTTAGGGCGAGGTAGCCAATCAGACACAGTCTTGTATGAAGCTTCACATTGACTACCATTTTGTGGCATTGAAATGTTTCCAGTAATGACTTGATATTTGTATGTTATAGCTGTGGAACGGGGAGATGGTGATAAAGCATCAGATATCAAATACTGGGAATCCAGCTATATCGAAAGGGTTGCTAAGGCGATAGGTGACTATTGCAAAAGTGAATTCAAGAAACTGAAATTTTATGGTGCAACAAAAGGACTAAGTAGAAAGGTAAAAATAGTTATTGTGAAAAATAGTTGAAAATTGAGTTCATCTAGACTAGTATTATGGGATGTGTTAATGTTATGAAAATGTTAAATTAAACTTAAAAGTATTTGATACACACTAAATGGATAATGAAAAATTAAATTTTATGTTTTGTCTTGGTGGTAATATCTGAAGCTGCATGAAGCAAAAAAAAGGTATCTTTACATTGGGTGCTGAATAAAATGAAAGGAAACCTGTATTGATTGAGTTTCCTCTTAAAATTGTAGTATTCTTAGGAACATTGCCAGCTGTGTATGTCTTGATTTCAACACTTTTATTCAAGCTGACGATCCCGGTCATTTTCAAATAGGATTTATGGATTTGGATTCACTATGACAACTCAGATTTTTAGCAGAAGAATTATATGAAAAAAAGAAAATGATGAATTATTAAATCCTAAGCCCGTTCTATAATTGAATACAATCAATTATTATTTGATCACAAACATACAATTTTATTTCAAATTTGAGTGTCAAATCTATATATTGGGAATTTGCATATGCAAATGATTTCAATTAAGTTTCCAATGGTTGATGACAAACACTGCTGACAATGTTGCCATGGAGATTGATTTGAAGGTAACTGTTTTTATGATCATTTAACCCTTTAAACTGTTATGATAAAGTATGTTTGAATTTCCTGCAACTGAGACTGTATGTCTTCAAATCAAACAAACACATCATAATTGTGCCATTGTCATATTTCACAGGTGTCTATGTTAAAAAGTTATGCAGCCAGTCTTCCAGAAAGTGCTAATGATTTAGCTGCAATAACGCAAGATAGAGAGGGTAAACCATTGGTTGTTGTTAGTCTACACCCTGACCAGAAAGACTATGTAAGTTGATTGTATACGGCTTTACGATATTGAATTCGATATCTTTGATGTGATTTCAGGGTAACCTTTTGTGTGTGTAGGGACGTGTGTTCAGCCGTTGAAAAGATAGTCACCAACTCCTGTCATTTAGTCGCTATTTCTTCTATGCTATTGATAAAGAGCCATTGCTCGAAACGTCTAGCTATTTTTAATAGTTACTTAGGACTATGATTATCAAATATTATCTACTAGTCTCTGATGTGTTTGTAGTTTTATGGTTTCTGTGACTAAATGCACTTTATGTCTCTGCAGAAATAGTTGGTAATGTTGCCAACTACAGTGATATTAAAACAAAAAACTAGACATGCATATCAGCAGTGTGTCTGATTGACAGTGTGGATGATTACAATAAATATTATAATTATATTATTATTATGTATAATTACTTATGTAGGCATTTAAAATAAGAATTCTTCTGGAAGCTGATGGACATGAGGTGTGGTGTTCTACTGATATGTTTGATGCAAATACTACTTTGAAATACCGATTGGATGCGTTACCACGTAGTGCCAGTGATGATTACAGCGGTATGAATATTTTGTTTGTCATCGAATATTACATTTGAATACAAAAATAGCATAGATTGAAAAAAACATTTCTCTCAAAATTTAATAATTTCTGAGAAATGTTTTAAAACTTGCATACTGCTACAATTGCAATTGTGTTTTTCATGTATATACGCTTTATTTGACAATTGTACCCCAGCTGCATAAGAACGTAGAACCAAATTTATTGTTATGTTTTTGCAAAGTTAAATCAAAGATTATTTTGTATGCAATTTTTAGAAGGTCAAATTGTCTTAGAGCTTTTCAGACCTGAAATAAAAATAACTATGTAGTTCCTGTTCAGATTTTAATTGCAGTAAAGATAAGTTTTTGGCCATATCTCGGCTTTCAACGTGCACAATGAAAACTGTTTTGTTTTTTACTTGTACTTCCAGGTCCAAGTCTATCTGGGCTTTCACAGAGTTCTAATGAAGACACCACAGAGTCTTCTCAAAGAAGTATGTTCCAAGAGAAAGCTGATGAAGCTGGTGTTGTTGTCTTTGTACTTTCCAAATCCTTTGCTGAATCTCAAACTTGTCAACAACAGGTACATTGCATTATGGGTAAATTAGTTTTGAACTAATTTACTAATGGTTATAAAACTAATGTGTTTCTGGTTATAAAAATCATAGAACACAGATTCTTTTTATTCGCATTTCAATTTCAAATAAACAAACTGTTAAGGTCACAGGTAATCAATCAGTAAATAAAAACAAATCATTAAAGCTTATATTTTTAGGTTACAATTTTACCACAAACCTTTTTTAGTTGGGTTTCATTATTTGGAGAGTACGTGGTACATCAGGGGGCATAGTCAAACAAAGGAAGGGCTTATGACAAATGAACTGTTTCATATTTCTACTGATTTATTTATGAAAATACTATGTGATGATGGTGTGAAAAAGGGGTGTGTAGTAGTCTCTTATCAAGGAACTATTTTGTATGTACATCCTGTATTTTGAGATATTATTAGGCATCCCTATTCTACACCAATGCTTATTATGTTTGATGATTGAGAGGTAAAAAAAGGAGGCACAAGGTATATTTCATCCCCAAAACAATTAACGTGTACCATATTTGCTCTATTAGAAGTGCATCTCTGTAAACCAAGTTGTTCTCTGGATTATCAAATATGAATTATTTTGATTGTACATACACCTACATCATTTACATGTATTACTAATATAGCAAATACTGTACATATGTGTTTGGGTGTTTGCACAGTTATTGTGTCATAGATGTATCCTCACATGCTTTAGTAAATTGTGTAAATTAGTAAATCATTGTGAATAAGATAAATTATGTGTTTATGGAACAAACAGCGCCACCAGTGGTGAAAGTGATGGAATCTATCATTTTGCTATACACTATAGAAAAACTATGCAGTTGTGAAGAGAACTTATGTTGACAAAGAATATATAGAAATTTTTGTATTTCATCGAATGATGAAAATCAAAATATATTCTTCAAAATTAATATAACATTAGCTTATTCAAATAATTTCACAACTCCAATCAAAATTAGTTGTCTCTATAGACAATTTGGAGTTTCTTCAAAGTTCAAAATTAAACACAATTTTGGTAGAATTAGTAAACTCAAAAACGAATAAAAAGAAAAATTAGATCAAAAATATTTTCATGTGAGTTATGATTTTGTCAAATTGCAGAAGAATACAATAATCACATAGTCAACCCTTTAAACTTTTATGTTTTCATCTAGGTATTTTACTGTGAACACAGAAAAAGAGTCGTCCCTTTGAAATATGAAGACTTCGCTATGCCAGGTTGGATGAGTATGTTGATTGGTACAAGTACATTTGAAGATTTCCGACGTGATGGTTATGCGGAATCATTAAGAGCTCGGGTGAAAAAAGCGTTAGATCCAAAATTGAGGGATAGCTATGATGATGAACTTAAAGAAACCAAAATAAATGTACATGTAAGTACCGGTAGCTTGTAACAGAGGTAGCTAGTAACCAAGGTAGTTACTAACCGAGGTAGTTAGTAACTGAGGTAGCTTGTAACAGGTTGTTAGTATCAAGTAGCTAATGGCTGACTGCTGGCCATTTTGTGTTTATTCATGTCCATGATGATGGCTCACTGATATATTGCCTGATTTAGTTGAAAGTTTGCATACAAGTACTATAGTTGTAGCTCATATTAGGTACTCGTAACAGAGATAACTTGTAACAGAGATAACTTGTAACAGAGATAACTTGTAACAGAGATAACTTGTAACAGAGATAACTCGTAACAGAGGTAGCTTGTAACAGAGATAACTTGTAACAGAGGTAGATAGTAACACAGGTAACTTGTAACAGATATAGCTCATAATTGCCGATCCGCTCCGCTAGGACTGCCCTTATAATCACTTTTGTCGTTTTGTGTGTGTGTGTGTCTGTGTGTGTACATTTCCAGTGTTTTCACGTATGATTTTTTCTGTGATTTTTTTGGCTTGGCCGATTTCTTTCAAACTTGGCAGGTAGGTCACACCTCCACCCTAGTTATAAGGAAAAATCTGAAAAAAAAATTTGGCCCACCGTTGCCATA